AAGTTCCATCACCTCAATATGTGCCTATGTTTGAGAAATTTGACGAATTCAATTCTTGAAAAATATCTTGATAATGACTCAAAATAGTCGGACGATTTTGACTAAGCCGATAAAACATTTTGTTTCTGACCTCATAGTCTTAGTAACTCAAAACTGCCCAAAAATATCAAATAGAACTTTATAATTCTAAGGAGTGGAAAATTAAAAGTGTCCAGGTCTCGATGGAGGGGATTTTATGAAAATCTTGGCCAACAGCAAACCATAAGTGCATAAGGCTACTATATATGTGAGGCAGCGTGGTGGAATCAGGCTCTCGTCAGTTTTGGGGCATGTAGAGTTATTGGTGTCATCTTAAAGCTTGTTCACTTGTCTTTATTTCAATGAAAAAATATCCATTTATCTTGAATATAAGTCGAGATATTTGCCAATGAAGGAGGTGGGGGTCACCTGTTTTCAGAGGTAAAATTAATGAGAAAATGGCGGCCAAAGATTAGTTATTTCCTTATTTGAAGAGTGATTGGTAACTGAAAATTTACATGTTTTATGCCTTTAATCAACCTTTTTCAGAAAAATCCACACAGAAATGAGTTCTTTAATGGGCGTTAAAGGTGTTGAGCCAAAAAACAAAAAATTGATAAAAATTCACAAACCTACTGGAAAAACTGCAAGTTTCTTCGCTTTGATTATTTTGACGAGAGCCTGATTCCACCACGCTGCCTCACATATTATACATATATTATAATATACAATACAGTACATAATGTCACATGACATGGCGGCCGTCGGGGCCAAATCTTTTGCTGATGCCCAAAAAGCGAAAAGCCCTAATGGGGTAATAATAGGCTCCCAGCAAAGCAGAAGCTTATTTGAAGTTGCACCATTACCCGATTCGACCTGCTGATTCAGAACAGACCCTTTTGACCAACAGCCATCCTTTCTAACCATTACACCCCAAAGGCCGGGTTGACATGAGGAAGATTTCACAAAACGCGTGTGTGTGTATGTGTGTATGTGTGTGTGTGTGTGTGTG